GCAGGATTTACAACATACAGGAAAATCACACAATACCAAGAATCGTGGCCCAGCCAAATTGATACACACATTTTTGGGGGGACATAATTCAATCCATGACAATGTGAAAAACAGAGAAAATAAATGGGAAAAAATATGAAGAGAGTTTAGGAACCTGTGAGACTGTAACAAAAGATCTAACATTTGTATCATTGGGTTCCCAGAAGGATAGGAGAAAGAGGACAGGGCTGAGAAGTATTGGAAGAAATCATGGCAGAAACTTCCAAATTTGCCAAAAGACATAAACCTACAAATTAAAGAAGCTGAGCTAACCCCAAACAGAGTAAATCCAAAGAAATCCACTCCAAGACATACCACAATCAAACGTCTTAAAACTAAAGGTAAAGAAAAAAATATTGAAAGCAGTAACAGAGAAAAGACACCTTACAAGAGAAAAACAATTCAAGTGACAGTGGATTTCTCATCACAAAACACGGAGGCTAGAGGAAGTGACAGAATATATTTCAAGGACTGAAAGAACAGAATTGTCAAACAGAACTATATCCAGTGAAAATATTGTTCAGGAATGAAGGGGAAATTAAGACATTTTCAGAGGAAGGAAAAGTAAGGGAATTTGTCATCAGCAGGCCTGCCCTACTGCAAGAGTGTCTAAAGGAAGTTCTTGAAACAAAGGAAATGCATAAAGAAGGAATCTTGGAACATCAGGAAGGAAGAGAGAACAACAAAAAGAGTAGAAATATGGGTAAATAAAAAAGACTTCTTAAGTTTTCTTAATTGAGTTTGACATTTGCCCTCTCACTGCTTTCAAAAATTATAACATTGTCTATTGTGGTTCTCAGTGTATTAGAGGAAATATTTAAGACAATTATTGGAGGAGGGTAAAGGGGCTTAAAGGAAGGTAAGATTTCTTCATTTTACTGGAACTGGTAAAATGTTGACACCAGTAGGTGGGGATAAGTTATACGTATTGTAATGCCTAGAGTAGCCACTGAAGTATCTCTTCGAGGAGATGCACTCAAAAATACTAAATAAAAAATAGAATTCTAAGAAATGTTCATATAACCCACAGGAAGGCAGGAAAAGGAAAACAGAGGAAAGAAAATGGCAGACTTAAGCCCAAACAGATCAAAGATTACATTAAATATAGGTGGTCTAAATATACCAATGAAAAGGCAGAGATTTACAGAGTGGATAAAAACACAACAACTGTATACCGTCTACAAGAAATCATTATAATGATGTAGGCAGGTTGAAAGTAAAAAGCACTTTTACTTGTAATAGCCAAAAACTGGAAGCAACTAAAATGTCCCTCAGTAGGTGAGTGGTTAAACAA